GAGGGTGGTGGGGCTGGAGTTTCTTCAAGTCACTGGTCCATTGAATCTGATACCAAGTCTGCCTGGGTGTTACTCATTTCCCATGCTATTTTCATGTCAAATACTGCTGTCCCTTTATTATGCAAGGGATACAACGAATTGAAACCTAGTTGGACTTCCTCCCACTTAACATTCTTCTACTTTCGTGTTGACATCTTCTACCTTCCAACTTCCGTATTTACATTGAAAAAGCTGTTGCTGGGTAGGTTGGTTATTTTTTTTTTCCCATCAGACTCATAGGGATATTTTTGGATTATTGGTTATGATGAATATTTATGGAAAATGTTGCTGTGCACTCCAGTGAGAAATCAGTGTTAAAGAGGCTGGCCCCACAGCTATCTCTGTATCTCTGGAAGCTATGTCCTTTTTACATTTAATTAGTGCCAAGTATAGGGTCTTGCGTGAAGGAGAACCCAGATTGAACTCCTGTAGCGTGATGTGTGTTTGTTTCATGCACTCTACTGTGTTTACTGATTTATGGCATTTAATTATCAATCTGTTAATCCAAGTTTTTGTTTAATTGGATTCATCAAACTAATTGTATGAATTCCACTCTGATATCATGGCCTGAATCTGGATATCAGATTCCCTTAATAAACAGAAGCAGTTAATGTGTTCCTGCTTCTTCCTGATCAGGAGGCCTGCAGTCCTCTGGTCTTGTTTGTTTCGTAGCATTTCCTTTTGTATTCGGCATTTCCTTGAGTGCCCTCTTTGCTTCTTGGAACCTTGCCTTACTACCATCACCATTCTCACAGGTCCCTGCTCTATCGGGCCTAAAATGGTAGGGAAGAAAGGAAGAGGAGGGAAGTAAGAAGAGAGGAAAAGGTGACTTCTGTTCTCAGTCACTGTGTCTGTGGGTGTATTTTTTAGGAAGTTTAAAATCTAAACTCCCTGTCTACAGTCTTGGCCTATCTTGAAGGTTGTGAGTCAACTTAGTGAATACATGCAAGGTACTTTTAGGCTGTCTGGCTGGGACATAGGTTGGGTCCAATGAAAGTGATAGTTCAACATAGCATGCTCCTTAGATGGCAGGCTCCAGGCAAGTAGAAAAGCCCATGGCTCTGCCTGGAAGTTCTCGTGCAGGTCCAGCCTATCACTAACTGGTGCTTCAGACATTGAGATGAGGCAAGTACTTAGCATTCAGTTTCTTAAGAAAGTGATTAGCTTCATAGACATCTAGACTATTTTTAAACATAAGAATATGGCTTTCTTTTCCTCGGGGGGTGCTGTCCATTTTTGTCCATTGGATGGAAGGTGCTATCACAATATAAATGGTGCATTGCCTATGATCAGCAAGGGCTTCTTAAGTTACTCCCACTTCCTCAGTGATATTGTCCAGTCTCATTCCTTCAAATGCCAATCCCAAATGTCTCTGTTCCAGAACTTTCCCAAACTCCAGACTCAGATAACCAACCTCACACTTGACATCTCCACTGAATGTCTAAAAACTTCTCAAATTTAACAAATCCAAAGCTAAATTCTTGTCTCCCCAACCAGTTTCACTTCTCATTCTTCCCATCTCAGTTGATGGCAATCAACTGTTTTTTTCTGGTGGCTTAAGGTAAAAATCTGTAGTCATTCTTGACTTTTTTTTTGAAACAGAATTTTGCTCTTTGTTGCCCAGGCTGGAGTGCAGTGGCGCGATCTTGGGTCACTGCAACCTCCGCCACCCAGGTTAAATGATTCTCCTGTCTCAGCCTCCCGAGTAGCTGGGATTACAGGTGCCCACCACCACACCCAGATAATTTTTGTATTTTCAGTAGAGATGGGGTTTCACCATGTTGGCCAGGCTGGTTTTGAACTCCTGACCTCAGGTGATCCACCTGCCTCGGCCTCCCAAAGTGCTGGAATTACAGGCGTGAGCTACCGCGCCCAGCCGACTTTTCTTTTTCTCACACCTGACATTTGACCCACTAGGAAAGCCATTGTCTCTACCTTTAAAATATATCTAAAATCTACCCACTTATCACTAACTCCTGCTAATGCACTAGTTTAAGTCCCTGTTGGGACATAGAACATGATACTACAAAGTACAGCACCTTGGACACTGAGAAAACAGCAGAAGCAGAAAGGTCACTCTGACCATCCGCTGGCTTTCTGTGTGAGAGCTGATCTTAAAGGATCCTGTTGGTTACCTTCCCTGGAAAGTGGGCATAAGACCCTTATGTGACAGTTGCCCTGCCCCCTCACCTGGAGGGAAGGAATGCTACACAGAGGCCAAGAAGATTCTGAACAAACAGGCCATGCTGAGCTCCAGTTTATCACCATTAGATCATATGCTTTTTGTCCAATCATGTTTCTACATAGCTGTCCATTCTTCATATGCTTCATTGAACTTAAGCACAAAAATAGACAGTTTTCTCTGGGTCTTGGGGTCTTCATCTCTGAAGGCTCCTATATCACATAAAACTTTGGTTACATAAATTTGTCATGCCTTTCTCTTGTTAACCTGTCTTTTGTTATAGGGGTGTCAGCCATGACCCTGGTGATGGGTGAGAAAAATATTCTACTTTTCCTCCTCCACATCCTCATCATCTTTTCCTGGATGAGTGCACTAACCTCGTCCATGTCTTTCTGCTTCCACCCCATCCTCCCCTATGGTGTATTCTCAACATAGTAGCTGTAGGTCAATCTCATTTTTTTTCTTCTACAGTGTTTTTCCATTCCACTCAGAACACTCAAAATCCTGACAGTGGCCTTCTAGTTACTACAGCTGTGCAACAAAACATCTCCAAACTTAATGACTTAACATCACCATTTATTATGTGCAAAATTCTGTGAGTCAGGAATTCAGACAGCTTACAGTGGGGGGACTTGTCTCCATCTTGTGGTGTTTGGATCCCTCAGACTTAAAGGCACTAACCACCTGAAAGCTCACTCACTCAGATATCTGGAGATTGGTGCTGGATGTAGTCTAAGACCATCACCCAGGTTTTTAGCTGAAACACTTACACAGGGCCTCTCCATGTGGCTTGGGCTTCCTCACAACATGGTGGCTGGGTTCCCAGGACAGAAAGCCAGGCAGAAACTGGACTTTAGCCTCAGAAGAGTTACAGAATACCTTCCATCATACTCAGTGGGTTGGAGCAGTCTCAGCCTGACCACATTCAAGAAGAGGGAAATATACTTTACCTCTTGATAGGGAGTGGCCAGGTTCTGGAAGAGTATGTGGTACCAGAAATATTGCTGTGGCCATTTTGAGACTATAGTTTACCACAGTGGCCTGTGTGATTGGACCTGGGTTGTTTCTCTGCCTTCATCTTTTCTCCCCATGGAACATTCGGCTCTGGCCACACTCGCCGGAGCACACAGTTGTGCTGCTGCCCTGGGGCCTTCAGACTGCCTACTCCATTCGCAGGATGCCTGTCGACTCCCCCTTCCCAGGATGACTTCAACTCTTCCCAGGATGCCTGTCGACTCCCTCTTCCCTCCCTCTGCAAACTTTTAGGCAGTGTCATTTCCCCAGTGATGTCTTCCCTGACCACTCTACAGCCTGTTTCGCTTGCTGTCTTTTTTTTCCCCTTAAATCCTTATTGTCATTATCACCTTCTAATGTTCTATGGAATTTTTATGTTTATTCTTTAGCATCCCTCGCTGCCAGAATGGAAGCACTACAGAAGCAGGAATCTACCTCTTCTGTCCACTGAGCTATCCCACATGCCTAGAACAGTGTGTGGCACATAAATATGTATGGCATGTGAAACAGAGACACGTTTCTGGTTGGGGCATTTGGAACTTGCAATAATTGCTCCAGCTAGCACAACTAAGTTTGTGTGTTAGACAAGCATAAGTCAGTAAGAAAAGATAGCAACTTAAGCAGTTGTTTTCATTGTGTAAATATCTCTTTCTACCTTTTATGGACTAATGAACCAGAATGTGTAATTGTTTTAATTTCCATCTAAATATTTAGTTTCTTTATGAGGAATGTCAGGGTACTTTTTCCAGTTCCACTGTCCCTCACCTTACACATACATGTTGACTGAAATAGAAGTCCAAGAATCCCCAGACACTCTAGTAGCATGAATCTGGGCAGCCTGGCTTCTGTGTTTCCACATTCCCCAACTTTAGAGTACATGAGCCCTTCAGCATAAATAACCCTTCAGAATAAAGGTTGGAATAAAAACAATGATAAAACCCACGATAACAATAATAATACTAATAATAGACATGGCAGCATCATTGATCATTCCAGCCACCATTTGCTAGAAACCCCTTGGCTGCAGGTGTTATTCCAGACACTTGGTGTGCATGTCTGTTAGTTATCACCTTGAGAAGAAGGCACCTTCATTCCTCGGATGAGCAAAAGGGGAGAACTTGTTCAAAGTATATCAAATCTCTTTTATCCATAAAGTGCCTCTTCGATCTGTCGAACCATAGCAATCATTCATTCCTTCAACATTTGGTAATTAGGAAGCACTGAGTTTATCTCGAAGAGTAGCCGATCTCATCACTCATTGGAGGTTGAGCAATTGATTTCCAGTTACTGGCAGAATCCCATGTTTTTGTTTGCTTCTCAGTGAAAGGGTCCACAATCCTCCTCTACCTGTAGTGAGGCTTTTCTGGTTCATCTGTAGGATGGGAATCATTACACTGTCAGGTTCTCTTTCCCTGTATTGGACAACCGAGCCCATGGCCATCAGTCGGGAAAGGTAGGAGACAGAGCACACGTCGTCCAGTGATAGACTATCAGTGAGCTGCCTTTGAAAGACTACATGAGGCGGGCTCAGCGCTGTTGCTCCAGCCTCTGACTTTCTCCTGCAGAGACACTCAGAGGCCCAGAATCCTCCCCAACTCATGACTTCAGGCAGCCACTCCAATGGATCTGAATGTTTTCCAAATATAGAATGTTACAATTACTAGTGGCTTGACCTCAGTCCTTTGGCTTTGAGCTTTTAGTTGAATGGTTTTTGTTCAATTGTGACTGCAGTTGCATTCACTTTGGATTTCCTTTATTTCTCCAGAAGCAAGTGTGAAGGAAAATACTATGAAGTACATGGAAACACTTAAGGATAAACTGTGCAGGTAAGGATAATAATTTCTGTATTTCAGACTCTGTGGTACATCTAGATTCTTTATTATAACAAAATTTAGTTATATCAATGAAAAAGGCTGGCCAATTTCTCTAATAAATTAACAAAGAAAGACACAAAAAAGCCTTTTGAACCCCATAAGCGAAAGAGCAGGTGCCAGCCCTTGTCTTGTCTTTAAAAAAGTTAAGTAGATTAAGGTGTTTAAAAGTGTCTTGGAGAGATCACCGGATAGTTTTCATGTTCCATAAGAAAGACAAGAGTCTTCTTTGCTACATTAAATTCAGAATTCATTTCTTAGTCTGTTTTTCCCTTTTTTTAAACTTTAGTGTTTGAAGGGAGTCTTAAGGATTTTAAGGCAGTTTATACATGGTTTGGAATAATATAGAAATGCACGTCTTAGGTTCTGTTTTGAATCCTGAATCAAAATCAGCATGAAAATTTCTGGTTGTTTTTTTTTAAAGCCCAATTAGGAATTCGTCTTTGAGAAATGTCAGGGATGCTGCCGCATGACAAGATGTTTCTGGCTTTTGTGGATGTGTGCTTAGGAAAATAAATCCCAGTCCTCAGAATCTGTTCCTAATTAAGGCAACAAGTACTGGAGTGGAATATGCGCTTTCTTCCCTGGAAGTCATTTAGTTTTATGGAGACTATTTTGCTACTATTTTGGAATTTGTTAAGTAACTCTTTAGCTAGGCTATGCCTTAAACCTTTGTCTGCTAGGACACTGTCGTGAGCTAAAATGCTGCTTTTCCCTTAAGAGATGTTGAGAGGGCCTGCCTTGCAGAGTCCTACTCTTCAGGGTAAGCAAGGCATTACAGGATTTATTCTCATCCTTGGAAAGAAGTCCTATAACCCCCTGATTGATCTTTCCCTGCTTCCCATGCTCCTAGACTTGGGGAGAATCTATGACACAGGTGATTAGCAGAGGTGAGCAGGATGAGGAGAGCTTGTACTTGGGTCAGGTGCTCCGCTCTGAGTCTGGCCTTCCTCCTCTCCCATGTGTTCGGGACAGATTTCTGGCACATCCTTCTCGATCTCAACTGCATCTGCCATTGTTTTAGCCATCAGCACAGCACACACCATACATTAGGTTATTGGGCAGCAAGTTGTAGCCATAAGCACATGGGTATTGATAAAGAGATGCCCATTTAAATTGCAGCTCTCCCAAATATAAACTGTCTAACCTCAGGTAAGCGCTCACCTTCAGTTTTTTTGTTTTTTATTTGTCTGTTTTGTTTTGTTTTAGCTATATAACTGCAGGAAGGGTACCTACCTCCCCAGCTGGTGTATTAATTTAAATACCGTATGTAAAGCATTCACGTGGTTGGCAGTAGGCACGCCTTAGTTTCCTTTTCTTTCCTTCCTTCCTTCCTTCCTTCCTTCCTTCCTTCCTTCCTTCCTTCCTTCCTTCCTTCCTTCCTTCCTCCCCTCCCTCCTTCCCCTCCTCCCCTCCTCTCCTCCTCACTCCTCCCCTCCCCTCCTCCTCTCCTTTCCTTTCCTTTCTTTTCTTCTGACAGAGTTTCACTCACTGCCCAGGCTGGAGTGCAATGGCACTATCTCGGCTCACTGCAACCTCTCCCTCCCAGGTACTAGCGATTCTCCTGTCTCAGCCTCCCAAGGGGCTTGGATTTCAGGCAGCACCACCATTGCCCGGCTCTTTTTTTTTTTTTTTTTTTTTTTAATTTAGTGGATATAGGGTTTCACCATGTTAATCAGGCTGGTCGCAAACTCCTGTGTGCCTGACTACCTCCTTCTTTTTACCATTAGAACCGATCGAACACTTCTGAGTGAAAAAACACAAACTGCTTTTCCTCTGTTCTCACACAATGCAATAATCAACACAGAAGGCTTCTGTGATGAAATATGTGAGGGTTTCTCCCCACCAAAAAGTAAGCAATCAGTTCTGCCGCAGATACCAGCTGGGTGTCCTCTGACTCAATTCCGACACCAGCTACCTGGAGACAGCATCAGATGCCACAGGTTGAGGGCTCAGTCCCACAAGACTGCCCCACTTACAATGCCAATGGCAGATCCAGGTTGTTTTGCGTGGGCTTCTGACCAACCAGCTAGAAATTGGGATTCCCGTGACCCCCTCCTTGGGTTTGATTAATTTGTTAGACTGGTTCATGAAATTCAGAGAAACACGTATATTTACTGGTTTGTTATAAAGGAGATTACATAGGATACAGATGAAGAGATGCATAGGGTGAGCTGTGGGGAAGGGGCGCCGAGCTTTCATGCCCTCCTTGGGCACACCATCTTCAAGGAACATATTCAGCTATCTGGAAGCTCTCTGTACCCCCTCCTCTTGGGCCTTTTATGGGGACATCACTGGGTAGGCATGATTGAAGTGTGGACAACCATGTAGCAATGTGATTGGACAGAAAGTGTGATCTACCACAAATAGACTGAGTGGGAAAACCCAACAGGACCTGTCTGTTCAGATTCCTCAGCTTCTCTGTGCAGCGTTTCTTCCTTCAGGTATGGGACAGGACTCCTGAAATGAGGGTCTGTGACCTGCAGTCAGACAGGGTAGGTCAGAGAATTTCTTTCCTTCTTGCTTTTTTGTAAGTTCAACTTTTATTTTAGATTCAGGGGCAACATGTATAGGTTTGTTATATGGATGTATTGTGTGATGCGGAGGTTTGGGGTATGATTGATCCTGTCACTCAAGTAGTGAGCATAGTACCCCTGGAACTAGTTTTCAACCCTTGCTTCCCTTCCTCCTCTGTCAGTCTCCAGTATCTATTGTTCCCATCTTTATATCCATGAGTACCCAGTGTTTAGCTCCCACTTACAAATGAGAACATGCAGTATTTGGTTTTTCGTTCCTGCATTACTTTGCTTAGAATAATGGCCTCCAGCTGCATCCATGTTGCTGCAAAGTACATGATTTTATTATTTTTATGACCGCATAGTACTCCATGGTATAAATGTACCATGTTTGCTTTATCCAGTTCACCACTGATGGGCATCTAGGTTGATTCCATGTCTTTGCTATTGTGAATAGTGCTGTGATGAACATGCGAGTGCATGTGTCTTTTTGGTAGAATGGTTTATTCTCTTTTGGAGATATACCCAGTGATGGGATTGCTGTGTTGAATCTGTCTTAAGTTCTTTGAGAAATCTGCAAACTGCTTCTACAGTGACTGAACTAATTTACATTCCCACCAACAGTGTATGAGTGCTCCCTTTTCTTCACAACCTCTCCAGCATCTGTTGTTTTTTGGCTTTTTAGTAATAGCCATTCTGACTAATGTGAGATGGTATCTCATTATGGTTTTGATTTACATTTCTCTGATGATTAATGATGTTAAGCTTTTTTTTGTATTTTTGTTAGCTGCTTGTATGTCTTCTTTTGAGAAGTACCTGTTCATGTATTTGCCCAATTTTTAATGGAGTTATTTGTTTTTACTTTGTCAAATTGTTTAAGTTCCTTATAGATTCTGGATAGTAGACCTTTGTTAGATGCATAGTTTGGGAATATTTTCTCCCATTCTGTAGGTTGTCTGTTTACTCTGTTGATAGTTTATTTCTCTGTGCAGAAACTCTTTAGTTTGATTAGGTCCCACTTGTCAATTTTTGTTTTTGTTGCAATTGTTTTTGAGGATGTGGGCATAAATTCTTTCCCAAGGCTGATGCAACCATAAAAGAGCCTGAATATCCAAAGCAATCCTGAGCAAAAAGAACAAAGCTGGAGGCATCATGTTACCCAACTTCTAACTATACTATAAGGCTACAGTAACAAAAACAGCAGGGTGCCGGTATAAAAGCTGAGAATTTCTTTATGGCCAGCTCCAAGACAGAAAGGCGGGGGGAGATTAGGGTGTATTTTTAGTTTTTATGACCTGCCTAGGGGAGAAATAACAGTGGGTGTGGGAATTACGAGTCAGGAACTGTAGATGAAAACCTATATACATAATTACGACAGTCATGCCTGGAACTCATCCTCTCTCCCTCCATGTCAGCTCCTCCCCCTTTTCATCCAGCCCAATGCGTGGCCCACCACCCACCTGGCTGGCTGTGTGGGCAGGCACCATGGGCTCATGCTGGCTCCCCCACTTCCTTTCTCACTCAGTTCTGGAGTCTTGTTAGTCTTACCTCTTTAGTATCTCACAAGCCTGCCTGCCTTTATCACACTGACAGTGCGGGCCCCTCTTCTGATCCTAGTAGCAACTTTTCCTGCTTGGCTGTTCCACTGTTGCCCCCTTATCACCTTCTCTAGGTTGTTTTGAGTAAGCATCTTAAAATATCCATCTGGTCATCGCACAAGGCTGCCAGATGTCCTAAGGATAAAGCCTAAATGTCTTACTGTGGTTCATGACGTTCTTCCATGTGGCCTCTGCATGTACTTGAGTATCACCCATCACCACCCCATCATCACCCTATTGCAGCTGATACTTGTTCCCTTATGCTTCCCAATGCCATTGCATTTTTTTTTCTGGAAAGAAACTAATTTAGAGGGGGACAGGGTTAAGGGGTATCATCCAGAGAAGTATTTGATTGAACCATGTGAAATTGCTGATATTTCACCATTTTTGACCTATAAAAATGACAATTTCATATAGTTAACCCAATACTTAGGGATTTGAAGTCATCTTCAGGAGGGTCAGATGCTGTAGACTGAGGCTGACTGGTCTCCTTGCCCTTGACACACAGGCATAGCTTGCTCCCCAACCCCTCTGCATGTGGCCTGGTGGGCCTCTCCCAGCCCACCCCTCACCCTCACCAGGCCTTCCCATTCAGCCTTCAAGGTTTAGATTTCTCCTCTATGAAACGTTCCCTAACTCACCAAGACTGAGTAATGTGCTTGCAATGATTTATTCTCACTTTCCAAGTGCTCCTTGACAGGTATTATAAAGTAGCAGGACAAGCCGCAGACAAAACCCCTCAGACACCGAGTTAAAGAAGGAAGGGCTTTATTCAGCCGGGAGCTTTGGCAAGACTCACGTCTCCAACAACCGAGCTCCCAGAGTGAGCAATTCCTGTCCC